GCCATTAAGTCAAACCGGCAGCTGCTGCTCATTTGAGAGAGACAATTAGGAAGCTGTTTTTAGTTCTGTTTTAGAATTTTTTCTCAGGTTTTAGGTGGAAACTCTTGCCCTCTCGTTGGGCACCATTTGTAGCTAGAGTTTTCCTGCCTTGCCCACAGTCAGGACAAATCATTGTCACCTGCCAGTCCCACAGCTGCTCAGACCCAACCAAGTAAACGCAGAGACTTATATTGCTTACAAACTGTATGGCCGTGGCAGGCTTCTTGCTAAGTGTTCTTATATCTTAAATTAACCCCATTTCCATAAATCTATACCTTGCCACGTGACTGGTAGCTTACCGGCATCTTCACATGCTGCTGGTCATGGCAGTGGCTGGCAGTGTCTCTTCGCCTCAGCCTTCTGCTTCCCAGAATTCTTCTCTCTCCTTGTCCCACCTACTTCCTGCATGGCCACTGGCCAATCAGTGTTTTATTTATTGACCAATCAGAGCAATTTAACATACAGACCATCCCACAACAGAATACTAGATACATTTTACAAGGGATGGGGGCCATCTTCATCTCTCAGAAGCTTTTAAAACCATGATTATGATTCCATATAATTTTTATTATCTGTTTTCAACTTTACAAGATTCCAATAATTTTTACTATTGTAAATATGAACTTCTTGGGTTAGAGAGATGGTTCAGTATCTAAGAGCAATCTTTGTTCTTGCAGGAGCCTCAAATTGTATAATTCACTCCAGCATTTCGTGACTCAACTCTAACTACAGTGGTAGTTATAGCACACCCTTGTGATCGATTATATTCCCAAATTGTGGGCCACTATAAAGCATTTCCACTTTAAGGGTCTGTTAACATGAAGTTGGTATCAGGAAGAAGAAAGGCAAGCAATATGGATAAGTGGTACAAGGGGCAAGGTTGTTGCTTTGATAAACATGGCAGCAGTTGGGAAGAATTTGTTACAGTGTGCTAGAAAGTATGTTACAGGCAAAATTATTTTTTGGCAGGCCTTTATTTTAGAAGCTTGGAAAACCAGCTACAGAAGGAAATGAAGTTACTAGAGAGCTGTCTCATGAGTTCTTCAGGGGAAATAAAAACTATCTCATGAAACTGAAAATTTATTTTTTCTGTAATATATTTGTCAAGAATCTCGCTTCATTCTGCTCATGTTCTGTGTTTGGGTGAAGTTGAGTTTAAAGATAATGAACTAATTTATTTTGGAAGAAGAAATTTCAGGACAAGTGAACATTTGCTATATTTTATTGCACATGCCATAGTCTTCGGTGACAAAGAGCGGAAAATTGGGCAAAACATAATTTTTAAAAGTGTAATTTGTCAAGTAAGAAAGTAGCTGTCTAGATAAATTTCACAGAAAGATGTGTGCTTAAAAAAAGGAGTGACATTTGCTAAAGAGAAGCATCCTTCTCTAAACTGTGATAATGGCAAATTAGACCTAAGGACATGACTCCCACCCATGAAAGGCTCCAACACATGGGAAAAGTGAACTTATTTGAAAGAAGAGAGTGTGATCTCAGGATACATCTGAAGGAGTGTGCTGCTCCTGGAAAGAATTCCCATGAAAGTGCTTCCCTCTTTTCAGGACACACTCATATATTTGTGAGACAAGCATGGGGTTCAGGCCACATCTGGAAGTGTCAGGTAATGTCAGCAGTATTATACATCTGGTATCATATTTGTAGTCATGAATGATGTAAGATCTTGGGGCTTACAGAGTCTTGCCCCCAATTTTCTCTTAAAGTCTAAATCCTAGCAATAGACAGGGGAGTTTGGTTGGAGCACCCCAAGCCCTTACTTACAGCTGTGAAGGTGAAGCCTTAATGGCAATGGAGATAACAGAGTACATGGATTCCAGGCCATATGATACAGGCAGACCAAATTTCAAGCTTGGGGTAGAGATGATTCCCAAGATGGGTGGTGCCTCTGTGATGGTCAACAGAGTTGGAATAGTTGAGCTACCAAATCCCTTTAAGCTCTATGCTTTCAATACAAATCAAGATAATAGGGATGTACATCAGCAGGATTAGTAATTAGCTCTACTAGGTTGAGTTCTATGATTTTGTTGTGCCCTCAGTGCTCCCTTAATGGAAAATATGTATCTTGATTTAATTTCACAGAGCTCACACTTAAGAATTTCTCAAGATATCATTTTCTGCTTGCTAGGAAATAAAGTATTAAACTATGTATATGCACAAAGCAAAATAAAACAACAACAACAACAAAAAAAAAACCAATCAAATTCCTTAGGAGCTGGGGGGCCTGCATTCTTGAACACTGGCCTATCAGGTGAGATATACATACCCACTGGTGCACTGATGACATGAATGTTTGAAGGCTAAAAACACATCCAAATACTATTTGAGACCTGCTCCATGGGAGAGGAACACATACTTAGTACCTTATTCCAGTTAAAGCCTATGAAGAAGGATATCACTGACTGTAGGGAAGAATAAACAGTTGTTGTTTAGCTAAAAGAACACAATCACAGGCCTCCATATCTATGCACTAGAGTATCTTATAACTGGTGAGAGAAGCTCCCTTTTGCATTGTGTTGTGATAAACAAAGACACCTAACTCTGCCAAGAACAGAGAGTGTATGGCTATCCAAAACTTATCTAAAACTAGTACCTGATTCTAGAAATGTGAAACATCTTGGAAGAAAAGGGCAGAGGCAATGTGGAAATAGAGTGTTCAGAAATAGTGTTATGAAATTCTGTCTTCTGTACAAGACATAACCACCGCAATTTTTAAAATATAGAACCTGTGGATACTTGCACAAGACCAAAGCAAGATTGGACCCTTCAACATTGCATCATGCATAGAGGAGGGAATCATGAGTGCCCACTCCTCACCAAGGAGCTATTGACTGTCAAAGCTCCTGAGATAGGTGTATCATTTTTTTTTCAGTTATACAGACATAGGGAAATTGAACATAATAATCCTCTACTGATTTTCATAAAAGCAATCCTAATATCATTGGGTCAAAAGTAAAAGACAGGAATATAGAAGGACTATTTGGAAAGAAGGTAGTCACCAGGATGGGAAAGGGATAAGAAATAGTGATGTGTGGCTATTATGATACATCATACATATCTGTGAAATCAACAACAACAACAAAAAAAGAAAATGAAACAAAAGATTCATAGAGGAAATAGAGACGTTGCTATTCATACTGGCCACACCAGTTTCTCCACAGAACAGTTCATATTATTCCCTCTTTTTTTTGTAAGTTTTATTTATTTATTATGTATACAAGTTCTGCCTACATGTATGCCTGTACTGCAGGCCAGAAGAGGGCACCAGAACACATTATAGATGGTTGTGAGCCACCATGTGGTTGTTGGGAATTGAACTCCAAACCTCTGGAAGAACAGCCAGTGCTCTTACCCTCTGAGTCATCTCTCCAGCCCTCATATTATTCTTATAGATTAAGTGATAGACCCTTATGTCAAAACTCATCTGTTACATTGGGTGAACATATAGGAATTTAACTTAAATTCTACCCATCAACACAGTATCCTATCCATTATACAACTCTTCTGTTCCTTGACATGATGCTACACGAAAACATCAATAAAATCTCCCAAAGAATTTTTTCAGAATGAATTTTGATGTAAATATAAATACAAAAACCCTACCTAGTAAAAAAAAAAGTATACAATATCGTACCTCAACCACTTATGGGACACAAAATTGTTCAAACCCCAGGGGAGCAAAGAGCAAGTCCCAGAGGCAGAGCACCTCTCAGGGAACCCACATTAAATTCCAGTTGCAATTAAGGAGGGATTTTTGGCTCTATTTTTGCCTTTATCCTTAAAATGTAACTAAGACTACACGAAATAAACATGGCTAGCATTCTCCATCTTCACTGGTATAGCTCTTAGACTGGAAAGAAGCGTTGGCTACAAACATTGTCTTTTGGTCACCACTGAATGGACTACCACAATAGGGAAGAAAAGCTGCCTGTCTCCTAATTTTTCATCAAAATATCACATGGTAAGACTCATAAAGACTCATTTTTACACTTTCAGAGATGGGTTTTTGATTGTGAAAGGGCATGTTAAAATTTGTTTGTTTGGTGAATTCTGTTTCACAATGATACGAAGAGCCAACATCGAAGGATCAAAAAGCAATGTTGCTATGAACGCTTGGCCACCACAAGCCAGTTATCCCTGTGGTAACTTTGTTTGTTTTATTTTTGCTCAGGCTCTTGTGTGGTTAATGAAAACATTGAGGTTTTTGCTTCATAACTGGGTTCTTCAGGGTATTATATACATCTATCTACCTTACTCACAATGCTGATTTTATGACCCCAAACCAGGCATACAGAATATAGTAAACGTGTTATACAAGAAACCCAAAAAATAGCCTTTAAAAGTAGTAACTGCCCAAGTGCCCAATAAATAGCAGTTGTTAGAGAGTGGAGACTTTTCTTTCTTCTGCTTCCTTCTTTCCCTCCTTCCCCTTTCTCCTTCCTGTCCTCCTCTGCTCTCTCCCTCCTCTTAATAATGTCCCTTGCCTGCTTTTTTGCTTAGCATTTTTCTTCCTTCTCTTTCACTCTTAGTTTCTTCATGCTTAATGTAATGAAGCATTTTTCACCTTTCCATCTTTATACAGAAATCAAGTAATGTACAAAGAATTAATACTTTGCATTTTATATTATCTTTGCAATAATACTTTACTTGTTTTTCCTAGTGCATATTCAGCTATGGTGAGTAAAAATGACCTTTCCTATGTTTGGACATAAATGTGGTATGCTTTGAGATTGAATAAGCACCACTGGTCATGGTACATTGAAATTCTGTACTAAACTCTATACAATATTGCAAAAAACATAAAATGGTCTTTTTACATTGCTACATAGTAACACATGGTTCAGGAAACACATTGTAGTCACAGAAGGGCACAAAATAAATGCTGTGAATTAAGAACACTTAATTTCCTCCAACACTAGGTTTATGCCTCAGGAAAATCTTAGATGAAGTTCAGAACAGCTGTAGTGCTTTAGTCGTGGCCTGATCCCTTAAAACTGTTCAAATCCAAAGCTACAGAGAGAAACCTTGTCTCAAAAAAAAAAAATCCAAAGAAAAAAACCCTGAAAAAAAGTGTTCAAATCACCAAGACATCAAAAGGTAACTTTCTGAATCTGTTTTGAAGGAGGTGATAGGATTCAGGGAAAAGTCCTTTCCCCTACATTTCAGAAATAGAAAGACAAGGAGTATTTAGACATTTAGAGGACTGCAGAGCAATCATGAAGAGGAAAAGCAGTAGTTACCCAAAGAGAAAGTATTTCCTGGAGAGCTGCTGAGAGGAGTTTCCATAGCAACAGATATAAGCAAACAATATTTTATTGGTACTTAACTGTCTGAAATAAGAATATGACTGTCTTATGAAACTTACCACCTAGATATTTTAAGTAAGATTAAAATATCATTGATGATAACAGTAGTTTGTTTGAAATATATGTAAATCAACTACCTAGAATAATATTTCTGCTAATCTCTCTGATAGTTTTGCATGTTATTCACACTTTACATTAACAAAGTAATTTTCTTATCTATGTATTGATTGGATGTGCTCCAGTGGTTCAATTGTTGAGTGCATGGTGCTTATATACACAGATTAGCATGATAATTAGCTTTAATGCTATCAAGGATGGGAAGGGAATAGTGGGGTAATGTGCACAGCAGAGTACATGGAGGAACTCTTCCCAATGTCACTCCTCAAGGAGATGGCACAGAGGCCACAGCTCCTTTTGTAATAAGGAAAAGATCAAGAACAACCTTTGGATATTCAACTACACGACTTTTAGGGGTAAAAAAGGGCATGGGACGTTTCAGGAGAAACATTGGCAGAGTCAGTTGGTCCTTACATAAAAAATATGGATTTGAAATTCAAGATTATATGGTGATGGAAGAGGGTTGTCTCAGCATTATGGCCATTTAAGATAAGATTATAATTGCTCAGAACATTAATGTGAAATGTTACACTGTAAGCACAGAAGTTCACTACTATGGTGAATGACCTACAAACCTCACAACCTTTTCAGAACTTCAAAGAAAATTAATTTTGTGGATTTTAATTTTGATGATTAAAATATTTTATGATACTAGCATCTTATGTATTATAAGATTTATATAATTTCATAATTCACTTCTACACTGTGAAATGTAGTAAAACTATCACTAAATGGTCATGAAATTTTCCTTGAATTTCTGATGTAACTCACTATAAAAATGCTTCACAATTGAGATCTTCATGTTACTAGTGTTTCATTAATAGTATGATGTGATAGTGAGTTGTACTTTCCTTGTCTACAAATCAACCCTGTTTTGAGCGTTATAAATATTTCTGTGTTCCAACTTGACAATGGATCATCGTCTCATTTCATTTTTAGAATATACAATGAAGACTGAGTTTACTAATACAAAGATAAACAGACTTGTGGTTTTGAGATACTTCCTGATGTGTTTTCTAAAACTATTACTGGAATAAACCAATTTTATTTTAATTGATGTAACTTTTAAAATATATATTTGAAAAGACATTTGTCTTTTGAGTGATTCAGTTTTCACATCACCATGTATTACAGATCTTTAAAATAATCATGAAATAAATACTTATATGTCCCTTACAACATGTAGTCTGCAGAATATCGTGTTACAAAACTGTGGATTTGTCTAGGTGTAATGTTGAAATGTTTTAATTCCAGGTTTTGACTGTAGAGGAGTTTAAGATCACCCTAACCTAAATGGTAAGTTTAAGCCCAGCCTT